CCACCGCCGTCGCCTCAACCACCGTCGTCGCCTCAACCATCGTCGTCGCCTCAACCACCGCCGTCGCTTCACCGCCAACGCCTCCACTACCGCGACAGCGTCACCTCATCTTCACGTCACTTCTCTCGTTAGTTTTTGACTTTTTGTTGTTAATAAATTGTTGAGTTTAACTGTTCTGTTGTGGCAGAAGAATAGCCTAGAACCTTAACCATCCTTTTTGGGGGACAATACCTTACAAATAAGGATTGGGCAATATCGTACCAAATTACCCGCCTGGCAATCCTATAAGCGATTCTAATTACTATCGCTGTTGAGTTTTTAAACCGATCTAACTTCCAACTACACGAGCCTTATTCAGAGGTACTTTGTGATTCTGCTGGAAAAAGTAATGTGTGTGCGGGGAATGCTTCCAATCACATCGGTTGTAATCTAATCTGCGCTCTTGAAAGCATTCCCCACAGCTAGGCTAGCGAAATGTTGCAATAAGCAAAAAGGAGCTGATGCCGTAGACAAAGCGGTATGGACGTCGTTGTGGTAGGTGGTGCTCTGGGAAGGACGTTGTTAGGCGCCAAAGCAGGTCCACGCCAGAGTGGTTCGCCAATCAAGACGAGCGGTCGTCGTTTGTTCACAGGCAAGGCAGTTGCTAGTAGGGTCAATCCTACCATTGGTATTTTTGGAAATTTTTACGATCTCATGCCTTATCGGGGGCATTGATACGACCCCTCCCCAACGTGTGTTTATGAACATTAACACTACATATGGACGGGAGATGAAACCCCGGTGCGCAAGAGTATTTCCCGTTTAGCCAGTGTTTCTCCCCAATCGAATAAAATTATACTGAGGTTTGCCTCCCCTTTTCGAGGATCATAAGATTGTTCGAGGTTCTGCGATGTGTTAATGAATGATGTTAAGAATGTTGTTAATGTTAAGAATGACAATATTCGAATCACGCTTTCTCCAAAAATAACTGAATATCCCTTGAGAAATTATTTAGTGAAAAAAATGCTGCACGTTGGTACTTTTTTTCGTTGCACAATGGATGTTTACAATCTCTTCAAGCGATCACGTTCCTGGTCACAGTCACTTATTCTGGGATGCTGAAGAAATATTTGACAGATTCAAGCTCCCAAAAGAAGCTACAGAAACTTCTTTTTTAGACTATCATCGGATTGTCGACAAACTAGCCCGCGTTGTCGGTATGGTGGTGGGGGGGAGTACGAGGGACTATTTTTTTTCAAAAAAGCCGTGAGCTGTTCTAATTCACAATGATCATAACACTGTAGAAACCCATCATTGGAAGCTGAGCTGGTCTATTGCTAAAGGTTAAGTTTTCTTAAAGAAGCGTCAAAACTCATTCAAAAGCTATCAATCGAATTAGCCTGCCTGTGGGATTTTTTTTGTGGGGGGGGGGGCACCCTAAATAGGTTTTTGTGTTACTGAGCTCCAATTAATCCAAAGCCATGGAGGATTTGCTTTAGCCGCTTTAGCGCCATAACAAATCCTCCATGGCGCTGCGCCGCGCTTATGCTGTGTTCTGTTTATAATTCGCCGGTGCATTCCAAAAGTCGACTATATGCCTGTGCTGCATGCACCGGAGTTTACGCACCCAGCTCCAACCTCGCAGGACAAAATACAACCCAACCCCCCCCCCCAACCTCCCCGTTGGTTACTGATGTACGATACGCCTTGGCCCTTGTTGCAAGCGCAGAGCCCAGCTGCTGAAATCGCCACGGTTCTTCATTTCTCACAGACGAAGGTGGAAAGGGGAGTTATTGCCTTTCCTGGTCTGAGCCTTAGCGAAACACATAAAGGATAAGAATGGTCGGTATAAGCAACCAAACGCTTTTGCTGTTTCAAAATCGTAAGCGAGCACGTGGCTCATCCGAGAGTTGGAGCTGCTAGCTCTAAACGAAAAATTTCGTATTGTGAGCGAAAGATTGCACTGAAGGACTTGAGACGTTTTCGAACGAAATATAGGGCGAGGAAGCGAATTTATGGAAGGAATCACTTCTCGAGACCAGCATAGATTTAAGAAAGGTATTCCTTCAAGCGAGTTATTTTGCAAGATATTTTCTGTGTCTATCAAAAAATGGAAATATCCTAAGTTCGTGAAGCCTTTCGTCTTCTACATTGGCAAAAACTCAGAAAATGTACTCACCATCAGGAACCTCTAAGGTGAAAGATCTAGAGAGAGAGTTTGCGGAGAGTGAACCTCAAGGTTAACTCAAAACATCTTAGTCTCTGGTTTTCTCATGTCTTACGCTTCCTCAGACTCCACCCAGGAGAGAGGTTACATTCGTTGGAAGCTTGAAAATTGCCTGTTCAGTAGAAAGTTTCACACGTTTCACTTTCTGACTAGTTAAATGTAGCGAAGCGAAGCTAAAATCCATGATCGCTATATGGTTCACGAAGACCGAAAAGAAAGCGAACATAACGTAGCCCAAAAGGGCAAGTCAAACATCGGGCTAAATTCGAAAAATCTGGCCACACCGTTCCATATCGCCGCAGAACTATGTAGTGCGCTCAAGAGCGTGTGCCGTGGCGAAATACGGTAATGGGTTGGAGGCACCAATGAAATTCCCGTGGTTACAAAGTGCAAACCCACCCCATTTATACGATTAGTGGTCAATGCGACTTGACAGGTTTTTAGCTGTTTTTGGTTTCTTCTATCGAAATTGGACCATTTTCCACAAATGCTTCCCACACCAGAAGCATCTCACCCGCAGAATGTGCCTTTGGTCCGTCGAATACTTCGCTTTAACTATTCACCATTAATTACCGTCTAACTTATACAAAGAGAGCTTTGTGAGGTTTATTCCATATCCATGGGGAAGAAAACGAAGAATCAGGGTGCAGATTTCTGGTTAGGCAATTCGCAAAGTACACCTCCACATGTAGCTCCTGGCATCAAACGCTCGCACACCTTAGGATCTTGAGTACAGCCACTCCCATCTCCTTTCTTGTACAGCGTTGCGCCTGTGGGAACCCTGAAATTGAGATAGTTAATCAATTAATAACACCCCTTGGGAATCGGTAGAATGCTTTTTCCTACACATTATTGTAGATACACATGAGTACAGCCTCGGATATCAATTGATTTTCATCGGGGCACTCTATATAATTGCAACCGACCTCGTAGATATCTTGGTAAACCATCTGAAAAATCCAAATACACTGATTGTTCAAAGAAAAACTTAGTTGGGTAATTTACATTGGAATATGTGGTATATTCCTCCGCAGCTTGTAGGCGTATTACTCTATAATATTCTCCCGGCAGAGTCCAGCTGGTGACAGCCCTCTCAATAAGTTTATCTTTTCCTGTTACGTAAATGTAGTCCCCATCGTAGTAGCTGAAGTCGTTCAAAAATCTGGTGAAATTGCTGTTGGTGATAGTGAGAAATGAACAAGTGACTTACAAGTAAATATTTTGTCCGAATTTCAGCGACTCGTCCACTGAATGAGTGCAATTCTTGGTCAGCTCCAACGCGTGTTCTTCGAGCTTGCAACTCCATTTCTGCAAGGATTGAATGCTAAGGCAAGAATCAAACTTAGCGATCAGTGATTCAATCGAATCAAGAGAAGGAGGTGATGTGGACACTCTTCCGATGATGTGTCGATGCTCGCCGCTTTCCCGCACTATCGAGTTGCTTTAATCTCCGAAGCTGCCAAAATCGCTGGTGGCAACCGCGGAAATCGCGAGGTCTGGCATCTGCCTAACTAAGGAAAGCTAACTGTCCGCGTGTGTTCATAACTTTCACTGGGACGGTAGTAAAGTGCCATAGACTGGGAGTAAAAGGTGGTGAACTACGGCCGTAAGCGGTGAATAATGAAAGGCGAGACAGTCAGATGACCCCGCTCTGAATGGCGAGCTTCACTACATTCCTAGCAAAAGTCGCGTCATGGACTTGAACCATGTAGCGCAGAGCCCATGGGCGCGTCGTTTGCCACTGCACCACACCACCACTTGCTGTGTTACTTCTAAAGAATTGTAGAAAGCAAGGAAGGTTAATCTACTTGACGCGGACAGTATCCCAGATGATAGAATTCGGAATTTAATATCCGCTTCCGGCTCGGTTTCTTTATAAAATGACCGTGGGAACGGAATGGGTGTCAGAGCACCACGATCTGGTTCTTGACCTACTTGTGCTTGGGAGTCGCTCCGTACTTTTGCTCTCAATTGGTCTCTAAACTTTTGCAGACCGCGCACTGTCTTGCGAATCGTAAACTGGAATCTGATCATTTGAGTTAATTAGCAACGTATTGGCCCCAATAATTTAAGAAATCGATCCTTTGAAGCAAATTGTGCGCATCTCCCCAATAATGTGAATCTTTGTTCATCAGATATCCACATATTTGCTGAAGCGACTCGCCTCTTATCTGTAGCGGTCAACTAATTGTGAGCAGGTAGCGAGAAGTCTTTCCCGTTATAGACGGAACTAAATTCGGCGGTACACTCTTGTACTAAGTCCCACTGTTCCGCTCTTTTCTTGAAACCTGGGCATTCTTCATAAGTGTTTTGTTACTGCTGTGCCATACAGGTTTTTTTGGGTGGAATATTTATTATTATGCCTGAAGTTTCGACGATTTCGTCGTTATCAAAGGCCTGAAGCATATCGAAACGTCTTGCGATGTCGCCGTTCAACATAGCTAACCCACTCCTACTAAATGTAACAGCTCACGCGCGACTACGCGCGACTGCGCGCGAGTCACAGAGCAGAAGTTCGAATAACGGTCAACTCACCTTAATTAAGGCAAAACTCTGCACTAAGTACAACTCTCTGCGAGAAGAGCAACGGGTAAGGAGTTCTAACGGTAATAACGGTAGCTACTCTCCCAATTATGACCGCTCAGAACAGCGGGACGCTCAGCAAATGAATTTGGTATCTGATGAACCAAATGGTACAAGATGTCTTGGGAATCAATACCAGGAAATTTCTTCCATAAGCAGGATCAGATTTTCTTTGAAGTCTACATGGAGGCCAAATCGTTCTCATGTGCTAACTCAAATGATTGCAATCTCACTTGCGATATCCGGGGCCGAAACAGTGGATGCGGTCTGCAAAAAAGTTTTAGAGGACGCCAATTGCTGTAGAAAAAGTACGACCGGCGAGCCTGCCCAAGTCGCAACAAGTAGATCAGGAAGCAAGATCGTGGTGCCTGAACAACCATTCCGTTTATACGAGTCGATTTTAGATAAAGAGAAACGAGCCCTCTTTCGAAACAGCGCATAATTAAATTCTGAATTCTATCATCTGGAGATACTGTCCTGACGTCAACGTAGATTGCAGAGGTGAAGGGAGCTCCAAACTGTGTGGACTATTGAACAAGTGGAGAGGTCTCCAAAGAATGTGAATCAAGGGAAAGGCTAGAGTCAGCTAACGGAGATAGCGAGCCGATGTTGTCGGATGGAGTGGATAAGAAAGAGGTCAGAGAGTGTTGGTGTACTTAGAACCCAATCATGATAGGGAAATTTAACTGAAAATCCAACTTAAGCTGATAAAATAATATACCAGAAGTCAACAGAATAAGAAGCCTTCCAAGAAATGCAGGAACATGTGAACACGGGGCACGACTATGGATTGAAAGGTTGGAAGGTCAGCGGAGGCTCGATAGTGGCGACGTAATTTTAGAAGGACGTTAAAGCTGCAAGAACTAGAACCGTGCCCACGTGCTTCATATCTGCCATAATATGAAGAACTCGCGCAGACAAAGGGTTTGGGATCATGCTAAGAGAACGATTGTGGCGAATAAGCACGCGGCTGGAGTCCACAGAATGTACAAAACAATAAAAACCTATAAATTATCAGATGTGTGGAGCGGACCGAAGGCGAATCGAATTTCGTGTATTCCGTCAAGCAAATATAATTCGGGGTCAACTTCGTCGAAGCTGGGTACAATAATACACTATCAACGAGTCTCATAGTACAGAGGAAGGCCACGGAAAGCGAAGGGCGAAAGCGATGTGGTAGGGTAGCAAGGCCGAGGGGTGAGGGGAGAGACGGCGAGAGACGGATGAGCGGAGGACAGTTGTTGTGGACACACTTTTACGGTTGTCTGGCAGGACTGTTCGAAATAATCAAATTGTCTATGGACATCATGTTGGACGGGTGTCTCATGCGAGATTTTAGCCAAACAAACGTATTGAGAGGAGAAAGCCAACGTTAGGCACAATGAAGCCTATAGCACGAGGCGACGTTTATAAGAAATGATACCATGGACGAGCTACAAGATGGGCGAAGAAGAGGGTGAATGTGCATACGTTGGGTTAGGCAAAAACGGCAAAGATAAAATCGATATCTGATCAAAGAATGGACTGAACTGCATATATTTCAAGTGTCTGGAAGATATTTCTCGCAATCAGAGGGCTGTGCAATGAACATGACGAGTTATCGAGCCGTGTATATAAGGCTACAAAGCCACGTTGCGTAGACTGCCTAGGTAGTGAAATGCGAGAACGACCATGCTAGCACGCTTGCCCAATGGGAGACAATGTAGCGGGCGCGCACACATACGAAGCGGGAGACCTGGGGGGGTTTTAATCAACGCGATACGAACGCCAATCGAACAGACTGGAATGAATGTTCAAGTTATTCTTAAGCAGGCAAGAGTCGCAGTACTAGTGCAAGGCTCTACTCTGACGAAGGATCCCACGCGACGATGATATGGTTACCTTACCCTGACCACCACAAGGTCGCCAGGTTCCCAAATGGCTTTGGCTACAGTATAATTGAAATGGATAATAAGGATAAAACAGCTCCAAATATCATCATTCCATGGGTACGTCGATGGATCGGTTCCGTCAGCCGACCCAAAAGCTTGGTCAAGCAGCAGCTCGTAACTGCTCCAGTAACAGCTGATGGAGTGATGCACCGATTGACAGAAGAAGGAGACGAGTCCAGAAGATTTAGCTCATTCAATTGCTAATCTCAATGTTCACAGCACTTGAACACAGCACGCAGCGAAATGAACGTAGCACGACCAAGGTCTTTCCCTATATGGAGCTACAAAATAAGTTGTATCTTCAACTTCCGTTTATATCGGACCATTTATTGCAGTTATACAAGAGTGTCTGAGAAGAGCCGACCTGGCCAATGATGTTGTCTTGGTCAGTACACCATGAGACAACCTAACCATCAATTGGTCAGAAATCGCCTCTACGACCGGAATTGCACCATGGATAACTGCGTAATCTGCCCGTATGGAAAGGTAGGAGACAGCGCACGAAGATCCGTGGTTTACCAGCTTCAGTGTTCAGCATGTAACGCCTTGTACATTGGAGAAACTGGGAGACCGTTGGGTGCACGTATAAAAGAACATCTGGCTAGCAAACGAAGGGAACGTTTGACCGCACCGCTTGGCAAACATAGGAGGGAAAGTCATGCAGGTTATGACTTTGACGTTAAGTGCACGATTCTGGCGTACGAGAGAGATATCGGTGCTAGGAAAACTCTCGAGGCCTTCTGAATAAAACACCGCAATCCAAGTATGAATAACAGGAATGAGTGCATTTCCATAACTGATGATTTCTTGCCATACATTCCGCTTTATGAGCTCTGATTAGGGAAACGTAACGTTCGGCACGTGCGCACTTTGCTAGCAGTACACAACCGGTCAGTCTCACTTTCTCTATTGACTCGCGGAAGCGGCCCGTTCTGGTGGATTTAAGATGAGTTGACCGTTATTCGAACTTCTGCTCTATGAGTTGCGCGTAATCGCGCGTAGTCGCGCGGGGCAGCTGTTACATTTAGTAGGAGTGGGTTAGCTATGAGCGGAACGGCGACATCACAAGACGTTTCGATATGAATTCAGGCCTTCGATAACGACGAAATCGTCAAAACGTCAGGCATAATAATAAATATTCCACCCTAAAAAACCTGTATGGCACAGCAGTAACAAAACACTTATGAAGAATGCCCAGGTTTCAAGAAAGACGGACATGGGAACTGTGCATCTTGCCTTCCTGGACCTGGATAAGGCTTTTGATCGCGTTCCTCGAAAAGTCATATGGTATGCTTTACGACAGCGCGACGTTCCTGAAGAGCTCATTGAGCGCATACCTTACTTGAACTCAAGGAGTCGGGTGCAAACGGTGGCAGGTACTTCGATGGAATTCAACATCTCGGTCGGTGTGTACCAGGGCTCCGCGCTTTCCCCACTCCTATTCATTGTCGTTATGGATGCAATTTCGCGTCTTCAGAAGCCCACTCCATGGGCGCTTCTTTATGCTGATGACGTGGTGCTCGCATGTGATGACAAGCATCTGCTTGAGCAACAGGTGCAAACCTGGTCCGACCATCTGGCTATGTTTGTTTCTCCTGTTTCACGTTAAATGTGAAGAAGACAGAGTTCTTGACCACCGATTTGAGTGAATCAGGCACAATTAAGATTAGTGGCACTGAGCTCACACGTACAACATCGTTCAAGTATCTTGGGTCGGCAACCGCGTCCGACGACAGCCTGATCTCTGAAGTAAACTCTCGGGTGAGTGCAGCATGGTCCAAGTGGCGCTCGATGACCGGCGTTCTCTGCGATAAGAAAATACCAGAGCGACTAAAATCTAAGATCTACAGAACCGTCGTCCGACCAGTCGTCATTTACGGAGCAGAGTGCTGGCCCGTGACTAAAGAGGTTGAGGCTCGTCTCAGTGTAAAAGAGACAAAAATACTGCGAAGGACTGCCGGGGTTACCCGTTTGGACCACATTCGCAACGATACCATCAGAAAGCGGTTCGGTGTGGCTCCCATCGCTGATAAGATGCGCGAAGCTCGCCTGAGGTGGTACGGTCACGTCCTCCGCGCTAATGATGAGAGTGTCCGTGAGATCGGCCTAGACTTTAACGTGCCAGGAAAGCGGCCAGGAGGACGCCCGAAGCAAAGATGGCTTGATACGTTGCATGAGGGTTTGAAATTAGTTGGCCTTTACCCCGGTCAGGCACATAATCGGGAAAAGTGGCGTCGTATTTGGACACGCCACAGCGGTGACAAAACGCTAGAAATATAAGAAGAAGAAAAAGGATGAATTGCTTTCCTATCTCTCCATTCCAACGTGCTAACCGTCCTATGCGGGGTGCACTTAAGAACCGAGCCTGCACAATAAAGTGCATCCACAGGAAAGCCAGAGTCTTTCACTGCAAGGTTTGGGGGAAGTAACTTCCAAAATGCCGTGAGGGCCACAGTAGAGTTGTGTTCGAAACACACTGGGAGCCATACCCTGCGGCAGGAGAGGTCACTGTAAGTAAGCAAGGGACAAAAATGAAGTAAAACGTAATTCCTCTCTATATGCTTATCTAAAGATTGCTGCGAGATTTCTTGACGATACATTCATTTTGAGAGAAGTTACAAGTTGAGGGACGGCTCAATATTTGTGGGAAACCATGTAGTGATGCATGCACTGTTTCCTGATGCGTGACCCATATAGTCATTTCACTCCTTTCAGGCCTACGTGGCCGCATAGCCAACTTTATAATAATTCAGACACCTCAATTTCTCTGTATAGTGGACAATTTGCTTTCTAGAGCTACGCGCAACAATAATTTGGGTGAATTCTGATTCTGTAATACTTTTGTGCTATGCTTGCAAGTTTCTGGCAAAAATGTGCTCCTTGAAAGCTACATTCTAACGATGTTTCCAACCTACCTCTTGAAAGAAATTTTGCGCTGCTGTCTGATTTCTCCTTTATGTGCAGTGCTTTTCCCTCAGGCAAGGGATTGTTCGAACGTGTTTGTGAAAATCCAAGATGGACGAGTTGAAGCTCCATTGAAGCTACCGTGCTTGCTGCATAACACTGTAATCAGAGGATTGCAAAGTTCATGTCATAAAGCAACGTTTTGCTCAAAGCATTACCATCGCGAGATTTTGGAGGGGGAGTTTTACGATTTTGTTATTTTTACGATTTTCAAAGGTAGGCTTTGTTAAACAAGGGCCGCGAGGTGGACAGTGAGACAAGCGAATCAAAAAGCAACATGCGAAACCTCCGGAAACTCGAGAAAGTGATCATGATTCCTTGGCCCGTTTGATTGCGCATGTGACATGTCATCGTGTGCTATTCTTCACACTACGCTCCTCACCATCGCAGATCCGATACACGCGAGTGATCGAATAGTTCGAGTGGGGCGTCCCCGCCTACAGCGCCAAGAAGTGAGCCATGCAGATCGAGGTAACTCTTTCGCTGCTAATTTGCGAGTCGGTAAGGACCTTCATGAAGCCTCGCCTGTCTCCCACTGTGTCGATTTTCACGGTCTTTGACCTTCGTTCTTTATCGTGAACTCCTATTTTGAAATGAACACGCGATCAAATAAGAAACCTTAGAAGTACTGGAAACCTAAAAAAACCTGCTCCCAATATTTGTCACGAAATACTGAGAAGAAGGTGTAGATGGCCCGTGGGCCTCAGTAGTGTAGTGAGTCGACATGGTGCTCATGAAAGCATATCTGCTAGTTGAGTCTCTAATTCGGAATGACCGTCTTAATCATAATTCAATATTCGTGTTATAACTAGGGGCAGTCACCTCAGCATTCCATCTACGCTCAATCTGTTACGTAAGCTACAAGGCAGTTTACATACAGGTACCTATTAAAATCTTTGCGTGGTTGCCTAAGGGATCGAAGCTTTTGGTATCGTTTCTTCATAGAAAATAAGAGGCTCACAGCAGAAGAAACCACCGCTATCATTCACACAGCACTTTTGGATCCGAGACCAAGTATTTGTACATTACGGGACATTTTTCATTACGAGTATCACTTTTAACTGGATTAGTGACCCTGAAATCCGATTTTTGAACGGTTGTGCGTGGACGAGTTTCAGCAAAGCAGAGACCAAAGCGACTACGTCTCTTTAGCGACTGCACTGGGAATACCCCATAAGCGAGAGCATCGACCTGGTCTGAAGAAGCTATCATGGCAGCGAGAGCTAACCAAAAATCTTATATTAGAAGAGTCTCACCGAAATTGCTGAAAAGAAAAGATCAACACGTTCAAAGGCGGGTCCCAGAACTAGAAACATTGGTGCGAGTGTGCCGGCAGAGAAGAAAAAAGCAAAAAAGCTGCCAACAATGTCCAAGCTAAGAGGTTAGCCAGTTATTGGGTTTGGTTGTGCAAGCAGTGGGGGATTGAACATGAAGGAGAGAAGGAGTAGACGAGAGAGCGCAAATGATGAGGGAGCGCCTCACACTAGCAGGCTGCCAGCGAGAAAGAATTGAAGCGGGTGAAGCAGTCTTTGCAAGGCCCTAGCACCCTTACTGCGCACTATAGAGCCGCGAGAACAGAACATCAAAAACCTTCGTGAGCGGCTCTATTCTACCCACTCATTCATCTGACCTCATCCTGGGTTGTGGCCTTAGATTCTTGAATCGCTTGAGGCAGTGACGGTGCTTAGTCCAGAGGCATATTCTTTTGGTTTGATAGACCGTGTTAATTTATTCTTCATCACCCACAGTACATAGAGAAAGGCGAAACATACGTTCATTCGGTGCACTGCCTTGACCAATGCAAAGTCCGCAAAGGCCCAGGAAAAGTATGGAGGCCTGAAATGATTGTGAAGTGACACAAAATGGTTGCACTCAATTTGATTTACACTTACCGTGAGCATTTTCGAAGAGTTCGGTCGTGTATGTAGCTACAATATTCCACTCTGTCAAATGGGGCTGGTCTCCTATTCCCAGCTAATATTATGAAGTTTTTATTACATTCCGTTGAATAGCGGATGTCATGCACAAACACCCCCACCTGCGTCAAATAACATCCAACTGGCCATAGTAATCGGGTGTTTCATTGGAAAGGTCAGACCCATATCGACATCTTGGCACTTGATCAAATGAAGGAGCACTCGAAGTAGTGATAACCGAAGAATGAGTAATAGTATGCATAAACACTATGAAACAGACAGATGTGCTGCTTTTATGGTTGATCAAATGATTGAATGAAAGACACTGACTTCTTATTATTCAGGAAATTGGATGAAGATATAAATAATAATGAGTGAGACCCTTAAGAGCAGAACCTCCAGATTCACAAATCAATAAACAAAATTTAAAAGATTAGCGGTAACCACAGTTCTCTACTCCCTTTCGGACGAAGCGAGCACAGGGAGGGCAAAAGGCGTGCAGGGGAGGAAACTGGACTACTTTCTTGATTCAACCTCCTTGTAATTCATAAGTAGATTGGGTCGGGGAAATGACGTCGGCCAAGCATTTTCGCCTCTTTTCAAAGTTATTGTGGAAAATATGGGAATTTGTACCCTCACCTTCAATGACCCGAAATAATTGTGCAAGAACATCTTTGAGCACACGTGATGTCACCTCTTCATCGAGAATTTAGCCACGTGTGGTACGTGGCTTAATCGCCACGTCAATTTTCTGCAATTGCACAATTTCTGGTCACTTGAAGGCGAGGTTATGTACTTTTTCTTTTCAACTGTTTGCCCGCTGCTAGTTATTGGTATGCAAAAGCAGAAATCCGTTTTCCAAGTCCGACAAAGACTGTTCAACTTGGAGTGCGATTGCGCGGAAAGCAAACAACTCAACTAAGAGCGAGCAAAGCGATCCCTATGAGGCTAACAGTTTCTACAAACTGTCCAAAAAACTGAAAAGCAAAGCAAGATCGGAAGGAGAAATATAAGAGGATTTCTCGTCAGTGCCCTGTAGCACTGAACCTAGAAGTGGTCAGGAACTTTGGGGAGATGAAAATTGCTATGATCCTGGAGTTCCTCCTCCCCTGCCCGAGGCTTAGTCCCGATTAAGGGAAGAGGAAATGCTTACACAGAAAGACGCAGAGATCGCGTGCGGCGACTGGCCGCCCTTCAGCCACATTGCGCCCCAACTTTTAGTACTACAAAGAGTATGCTCTGCCTTGTAACTGCCTTAGCCAGCTGTGTGCTGATTGATCTTTTGCGTTGGCCTTTGAGCAAATTATCTGCTATTAAAATTTGAACACATATTCAAATGATCATAACTTCCTTCAAGTATGACGCATTTTCAATCCGAAAGCAGATTCGGGAGTTTTGTAACGAGTTCTTCCTAAGCAGTACTGAATTTATAAAAATTTATAAGAAATAACAAATTTGGATTTACCGAGGAAAATCCAGGATGAGCGCGAGAAATCATAACTTGCTTCATTTTCGACAAATCTGTATAGCTAAACGGCGGACAAAACTAGAAGACCAAACTTCCAATTAAACGGTTGCTAAAACAGTTTAAAGGCACGAGTCAGGCTTGATGGACCAAACCAATCCCTTTTGTCGTCTTTGTGCATGGCTCCGCACCCACAGAGACGTTACCATGCTCAGAATCCCAAACGGCGCCGGAATAATGCTCCAGGGCATGTATTAAGCGCTTTCGCCGCCTGGCGACGCTCCGGCCGCCCACCTCCGGACGTGGTGCGTGGCTGGCATAACGTGTGAAAACAGCTAGGTTGATTGCCGTATCAACCGATAGAATGACTGACATCTCCAGGAAACTTGTTTGTACGAGCCTCTTCCCCAAGACAGCATTCTTCACTGCTAGTGGGAAAGAGGGTTTTGTTAACGGCCTTGTCGAAGGTTTTTCTCAGTTTTTTCTCCACTGTCGTTCTACTTCGCATCTCTATACTCAGTTTCGATCGCCAAAATACCCCCTTATTGTGCCCGACATTTGCCTTTAATACGTCTAGTATTTAAAAATAACCACGTTTAATATTTTTGCTTGAGTATAGTCGCAAGGTATTTTTTCGCTGCATTGCTATTTCAACGAGTCAAGCGCCTTTCAGGGGCGATCATATGCTAATAGGAGCAGATCCGGAGCTTCGTGCTTTTCCTTCTCCAAAAAGTGTAAAATTGTTTAGCGGATCCTAGTTTTAACTATTACATGCTTATGAATTTGACGCTGAAGACTGTCTTGTTGGATAGTGTACTCCTCCCTGTAATTTCACACGCACTCTTTAGGACACTCTTGATTTTTTCTGAATTGAGATTCTTTTCGCAGATAGCCGTAGCTGAAGAGCTCGCTACGAGATGGGCCCACTCTGGGATGCGTTGTGTGCTTCACATGCCTTCAAATTCGAGGCTCACTTGAACGATAATTTATCCCTTAGAAAACGTGCGAATTTCGGATTCTTCAACTTGTGTGGTGATAAATACTGAAGTAACTAAGAACTACCTCTGAATCACGAGGATTTATGAGGGTGGAATAACGTTATTATTGAAAATTCACTGGCCTTCCATGGTATCGATTCGATACTTGATGTTTGTCCTCCAACAGGGATGATCCTACTGCATCATTCCGCCACGATCTCTTCCTCCCAGCAGCCAATACACCCCCCCCCTTGGCGTGTCGAAGATTCGCTACGCACGCTTGGCTCTAGAGACGATTATAGAAACGTGCTGGTCGGCTCAAACCCGAGGAGGCAGTGAGAGCCCAGGAGTAACTCTGAGGGAGGAATCTCCTAATTGGGTAAGCTAATTACAATGTGCAAAAGTTTGAATGTGGAAAACACAGCCTCATAGCTCTTCAGCGAGAAAGCGGCAGGCCGCGGAGCACAGACTAAGATGTTAAAAAATCTACTTCAAGTTGCGCCAATGCCACTGACTCATTATTCGGTACGGCCTGCATATCTCGTGCAGAAATCAACACCGAACTCAAACAAAACCTTATTCTTTAGAGGATATTGCCCCTTCAATTCGCTTCTGCTTGGCATTGCTTTCACTTTCAATGAAGCACAATAAAACCCTGAAAACAAGGACTCAACATTTTTCCATTTCTTTCTCAATCTGTAGGTGGCACTTAAGGATCAATAGTCACATCGCAGATATCGCGAAAAAAGCATGTCGTTCGAATTCCTTGCGCCTTCTTGAATTGAAAACTAACAAAGCATCGTATTATACCGCACTCAAAATCTCCACTAGACCTTTCTTTGTGCCCACTAATATATTGCTGCTGAAACTGTTTGTGAAACCTAATCAATTCCATCAATTTATTGTTGCACTATCATGATTAAGAAATGAATTACTATACATAATACATTAGGAACAGTAAGGTTCATAGCATGACAAAAGGGTCACTCTGCGGTGATGAGTGACGGCAGGCTAGCAAGGCAACCTACGGAGCAAAAGTGGGAACGTGCAGCTCAGCAGCGACAACGAGCCCCAATAGGTGAACTTCACCCGGAGTAGGTTTCGCTCTCCGATTGTAGGATTGCTTCACCACAGACTTCAAGCAATACCACCGCTGCCGGCGCAGACACCTACTGCTTACGGCTGGATAAACGTGTTTGGATATCGCAAAGCTGAGGCTCTCAATACATGAAATTGTTCCCCTGCGTCACAGCGCGCATCCCACATGTATTGAGAGAATGCCAGAATACTATAAAGAAACTTGGCCTCTTGATTTTCCCCCACTATATTTAATCCACAGAGATATAGCAACCATTCACCAGTGTTCCGCTTGCTTGCTCGTTTCCATAACGAGAAAAACTGCAATGATGGCGACCACCTCAAAGCAGACATCCACGGATTTTTGACGTCGAAGGTGGCGGCGTTTTGTGAGAGAGAAATCCATTCACTTGCGAATTGATAGAGGGCAGTTGTAGGCAGTTGCAGTAAATAGGGTACTCAGCCAAGGTGGTCCAAGAGAAAGTTAAACTCTGGGAAATTTTTGTCAAATCGGCAATTACTTATGACTCAACCTAATACTACGATCATTGAACAGTTCGGGCAGAGGATCACTAAATGAGATAACTATTGGGTTGGAGCATAATAACGTAGCGCTTCAATTTTTCATTTCTTCACATAAACATTTGAAGCAAAAAATAGAAACATAAAGCTAATCAGTGATGTTCACTTTGTCATTGTTTACAATTTGATTGCATTTCGCGAAAGGTCACCGGATATAGGTTTCAAAACAAAATATTGAGCTCCTTTTCGGAGTCCTTATTATTACCAATCTGTACGGAATGAACATGGTGGTAATTGGAGCGAAAAAAGTTGAGGTCTCTTAGAGCAAGGTTCGATTAAAACAATGGATTCCGAAGAACTTCAAATTTGGCGCTTTTTCTCAATAACGTAACCGAAGAATAGCAGTAGTCAAAACGCTGATTTCCGCCGTCTGGATTTTCCAATTTCTAAGCTCTATACCCGAGCACAGCTGCAATATTGAAGAAATTCACAACTAGGTTTTGTAGAACGGGAAGAGTAGTTTCGAATGATGTGAGCGGTTTTTTGGAGTATACTTGTACTGGTTGAAACTATACGCTTGAGAAAGAACGCTACGATGTTGTGCTCCAACCTAATAATAAGATGGGACATTTCGGAGGCGGTGGAAGGTCGTTAAAAGATTTCGACCACAAAATAGTAGGTAATCCAGTAACAGGAAGGACTATCGAAAACTATTCGAATGAGATCCCTCTCGATTCAGACCATTGTACGAATGCACCGAGGCGCTGCCACTCACAGGTGCAATGATCGATACATTAGGTTGTCGGAAAAGTCTTTACGCGTTTGGCAACTTTTTTCAAAATTACTTTTCTTCTTCAGTGCAACCAACAAACATAAATTGTTAAATATTAGGCTGAGTCATAAGTAATTGCCGATTTCTTCAGATCCATGTAATTTTTCCCAGTAAAATGTTTGTGTTGCTCCCGCAGAGCACTATGTGGCGACCTAAGCGTCCTTTCATATTACC